CAGAGTTAAAGAAGAGGTTGGCTTTCGCAGCTGTGGTGCATGAGGATGACATCAGGTAACAGAAGTGGATTCTCGTACTACTTACCAGGAAATATCATCTGTGCACGCGAAATCAGTGGCATTGCCCAACGACGAAATTTTAGTGAGTGAAAATTTGGTCAGGACAGGAGTTCCTCATCCTGAAGCCTGCTTGATTCTTACGAAGTCTCCTATCAGTTACAGCCTCAGCTTTTCGAGGAAATGCATATTACGGGAGTTGACACTAATGTCATTCCACAATGACTGAAACACTAGGTCACCTTATCTCCTTTCAAATACAATTACGATTATTCAATACTTCCATTCTACCGGGAAACGTTTAAAGGTTCGTATCTGATGAGACAAGGCACAGAGTTTTTATGCCATTCTCATCCCTCTATTCAAAACTAATGTGAGAGGAATTCGATCCCCCCTCACCGCAGACATTTTTCACCTTGAGGCGTAGCAAGACTTCGGGTTTCAAGTTTTAAGGATGCATCTTTACTGATCGCCAGTGTCGGCAGAGAACCAACGGTCGGTAATGGCGAATATGGAAAGCAGCTGCTGAAAAACCATAGCCCACCTTTTGAGGTGTTCCCTCTGACCGTTCAGTTGGGCACCTTTAGCGTCTTTGATAAGGACAACCTCTGTCTTCACCATCTGCTTACCGGATAATTGACGTGCCACTTCGTAAACTGCTCGCCAGTCACTCGCCTTGGCTGTCTTATCGATCTTCCTTATTTCCTACTCCAGCCTGTAACCCTGGTTGACTGCATGGACGAGAGGGCGAGGAGCTGTCTTCAAGGATACAGTAAGATGCTGCAAGCGCGCTGTCTTCTCATGATTCCTTTATACTCTAAGGTCTAGGTTCTGTTCCGTAGCCCAGAGAAGTTTGATCATTCTCTTTGTGACCAAAACTACGGAAATGACGGCTTCTTTGAAGTCACAGAAATCCTGATCGACGTTGCCACTTTTCGACTGGGCACTAAAGGTGGCATGTAAATGACACTATATATTTTTGATAGCATTTCGACGTCGAACAGCTTATGTGTTTCAACGAGACGGTGGCGATGCAACAAGGCGACTTTAGACGAACGATATGACGTACAGACCCAGTGCAGACCCGACACGTGACCCGAGTGACGAGTGACGAGTTGTGTCATTTGAGGTTGATGACGGCGTGGTTCACTTGAGTGTTCGGGCTTCCATCGGGGGATGTGTAGATGATTTGGCGAGTACGCTTAGGAGGAAACACAGGTCCCCCGACAATAAGGCTGTTGTGGACATAACGGACGCGTGCCGTAGTCACTCATCAGTCAATACCGTAACGACCGAGTATTCCTGGTCCATGTGCTACATTTGTTGCCCACTTTCGTCTTGAAGGCGCCTTTGACACTTGTGAAATCTTGACGCGACAAAGCGCTGACGGCCAGTCATGTGTCACAGCTGACAGAGTGTCTTTGTTACTCTCAGTGTCGCCTGCTTGATATTCATGCGACAGACCAGGATTTTCTCCGATACCAAAATCTCACCCAAATGACCGTCCGGGGTACCCTAGCGGACAAGAGAGTACTCACTGAGGCACAGCGTAATTTGATTCCACCTGCCCGCCAAAAATGACCCATCTTGCAGGTCAAGCGTCCCCTCTCTTTGGAGGCGAGCTTGCATGACCGCCAGTAGAAGGAATTTGTACCCATTCAAACGAACAGTACAGCGTACTGCTTCAATCCCGGATTTCTAGGTTACTGGTTGAGTGGTAATTTGCGAGAGGGAACCGCTTATTTGCTAACCCATTTCCGCCAGAGCAACATATTCGCCATAGCTCCTCCCTAACAACTCAAACTGCCAACCCCTGCTATTACAGTCATCCGTCTATTTACCAAGCTTGCCGGAAATGACGTGATTTCAATGCGATTCAAACTCCTACCTCTTTTCCAAGTTAAATATAAAACGCAGGTGAAATAACGCGAGAAACGTGAGAAGAAGACAGCAATTTAGAGCTAGATGTAGAGCGCGTACACCTGCCAATCACGAACAATTTGCGGCACACGAAGGTTACGAACTGAGGAAAGAGAGAGTTTGAAATCCGCACCTGCATAACGACGTTTCTCAACTGCGTCGAGGAACGGCCTGTTCCACAATCTCGCACCGCAGGTGCCCAAATCTACGTTGTTGTGACCTGAACTGTCCCCCTGGGCATCTGAAAACAAACGCACAGTGCAACGTTGCCATATAACCCGGTGTACTGATGTATACTGCAGCATTGACACAAACCAACTTTCATTAGTTACAAATTACGAATTCATAGAAGGGCAAAGGAAGAGAAGAAGACGAAGAAGAAGCAGCGGATTATGAAAAAGCAGCAGCAGAAGAAACGTTTATTGTTGCCTGTTCGCCGATCCCCCCAGTCAAGCCTTTAGTATTTCCTTGTCAATATTTTCCTAGTCATGACTATTTTCATCCCTGCCTTAATCGAAAAGTTTTCAGAACTTACCACAAGGCAACGAGGGTCATTTTGCGAGTAGCAGTTTAGAGGTATTGAGTGAAGTGGAGTCAAGGCACTCCTCGGGAACAGGTTTCGGTGAGAGTTCTGCCTCGTTGACATTTCCATTGTTCCCACGAACAACCAGTTGAGAACAAGCCGTTTGGCAAGGAGTTAGCAAAACTTGAACAACGCACCTTCCGCATGTAAAATCACTTCAAACGACGCTGAAGGGCTAAAGAAAAAGTCCTTTTGATTTCAGCCCATGAAAACACACGAAAGAAGGGCCAATCGGTAGAATTTGCTTGGTCACTCCACGAAATTTCCGCACGGAGCCAGGAATCATCTGTCAGTTCATACCGGGGACAACTGTTGACTCGCTTACTCTCCTTTATGCTTCATCGATCGATCAGTGTTGATAAGATCAGATGAATCTTTAATATCAGTCGTTCATGAGATGAAGAAACTCAGCCCGGTGATAAGGAAAAGTGGGTAAAGTTTGTCATTGTTGGGAAGTTAGACCCTCACGCTTGCAGGATGAGTTGCAACATCAGTCCCGCCATTTGAGAAAGCAACTTGTCGTGATAAAGCTACGTGGTACAGATCCTCCTCATGATGCATCAGCCAATCAGTCAATGTTTTGATCCTTATTTTAAAGATCAAAATATGCGCGCATATTTTAGTATGTCAATTAACCGACGGTTCCTCCAAGACCAGGTTTCACGGTGTACTGCATCGCCCCTTGTTCTTACTTGATTTGCGGGACCAAACAAACAGGCCGTTGCCTCAGGGTATTTGAGCACGCCAAGTGGCAAATGTATCTCGCATCATTTTATATGTCAGATCTACTTTAAACTCATGTTTCAGGAGCTGCACTCCTTACATGCAACCGCATAAACATCAAAATATGCGCGTATGACAGAGTATGTCAAATAACGCACAAATTATCGGGTCACATTTCACGGCATATCGTATATATACCTTGGAGCCGTGGTTTATTTAAATGCCCCCGTTTCCCCTCCCCCAAGCAACTAGAAAAAGGATGGTGTCATATGCCATGAAATCTGGCCTTGAAGATACTATTTTCAGGAAAGCGGTTGTCCAACAACACCGCACTAAAGCTTACAAGTAGGCGGAAAGTAATTAAAAGTAAGCGAATAGAAGAAAGACAGCCTGAAAATCTAATATATAATTAACAAGAAATTTTCCAGGTCCCAGAATGGCGTTGATCTGTCAAAATGAGAACAATTAGGTATTAATCTCGTGACGATCAAGTAAAGTTCTGAAAGCTTCTAGGAATTGAATACTTGATTTCCAGACTTATTACGAGGCGTTTTACTCTATACATCGTACTACACTACTAAGAGGCATATGGAACCACAAGAAAACCTTGGTAGTACCTCGTTCGTTTTAATAAAGTAACATCTCGCATTTTGGCACCTGAGTATTGCGTTGAAGCTGTAGGCTGTTCGGGGATCTATTCCTCGGTTTTACACAGTTTCCAGGAGATTCTACCGATAGCCTTATATTTCTAACTGTCTGATTCACAGTTTGTGAAAGCCTGACGACTGGTCAATAACTCATCGGTTATGAGGCCATAACGGCTTCAACTTAGCTGAGTTCTCGATCAAGAACCATTATTAAGGTTATCATTATCATGAGCGCGAAAGATTTTGAATCCGTTAACAATAATATGTAGCAAAATACCGCATTTTACTGTAGGGGTACGACATAACGAAAGAATGCAGCATAAATAGGCAAAAATGAGCATGCATAACTTTCTACTTTTTAGCGTCTACAAAACGAGAGCGTACTCACCGGAATGTGAAGCAAAGCACCTCCAAAATAAGCTGGGCAGACGGAAGCAAATGGCCTCGACGAGCAGGAAGAAAGGCACCCACTGGTAGTAGCTAATGCGGCGGTTCTCGCGCTCGGCGATCTCACGAGGCATCTCCTCGTCGAAGGGCAAGAAGTACGTATCCTGCGCCCAGCAGAAGTTTTCAGCGTACTAAATAAGCACAGAGTCCATTGACTATGATTGAAGGAAGCAATACGAACATCAATAAAACACTATTTAAGGTGAGACTGGAAAAATGTCCTCTTTCCGTATCTGCGATGGAATAAGCTACTGTATTTCTGAACTGAAGAACGAAAGTGCATTGAAAAATTGCTGGTCCGTTAAAAACACACACCGCATCTCGCGTTACTGTATTTAAATGAAGTAGGCATTTGCTCACGTACCTAGCTGATTTTCACTCTTTGATAATGGTGATCCTTTGTTCTGAACATAAGCCCAAAAAAACATGGCCAGAGGTCAACATTAACTGTGTTCTTTAACGATTTACTAAATAGATATAATGAAATATTACGCAATAACTATATTCTGAACAAAATATGTATAGTTGAGGGCGAAAATCTCCTCCACGACGCATTGAATCCTCACTTGTTCTTAGATGCTTACGCGGCTCAGATACCATGGAGCAGTGGATTGCGCAAATGGCGCTCCAGGCAAAAAGGAGCAAGGGAGAAGGAGATGTGGAATGTTTCATGCAATACGGCGAAATCGATTTTTTATGCTTAGGATGTAAGGTGTACAAGGAGACCAGTTCTTCAACCATCATTATGAGCATAAAAGCACCGAGATTCACATAAGCAGTGAAAATTCTAGAATATCATATATCTAGATCTGGCTAAATGGTTACTTATGGATCTGGCAGCAAGGAAACTTTCCAATGCGTTATGGATTTTGGATCTGGTCGAGTTTACATAAGGCGACCTCCTTTCATCTAATCATAATGAACCTGAGAGACTGTAACAGACACTGCAGTTAAATCATTAATGATACCTGATTCAAACGGCGAATGCACGGTGTAAAGAAAGAACTATCAATTTCTTACTTTACACCAGCAGCTCACTGCACCGCCTCCGTTCTTCTAGACGCCTAGAAGGAACGTTTAAGCAGGGCGCGGCTCAATGGTGTTTAAGATGACAGATAACTCCATGGCATGACAGATACCACTGCATGCTTCCTTATTAGATGTAATCATAAGCAGTGTCATCTATCCGTTGATCGCAGGTTACGGAAGAACTTCTAGTAAGAAGAGCTTCGAAATGTTTTTACTCGTCAGATAGGCAAGGTGAAGAACCACGAACTGCGTTAGTTATAAAAGGTTCATCAAGGGTGCAGGAACTCATCAAGGATACGGTACCGGTTTAAAACTTACCAGAACTAAAACTGTACTTCAGACTCCTCCACCTTTCCAGATGTGAACGTCACAATGACCAAGGGAAGAACCAAGTCACTCTCGGTTCCGCTATTCTATTAATCTGTTTTAGCCGTGTCCGTCGCGTAACTGCTGTAAATTCATGTCAAAGCTCATCATCCCTCATTCTTCCTTCGGCTTCTCCACGTTGTGGGCATATAAAGGACGGAGATCAACGCTTGTCCAATCTTCTTTCTTCTCGAGTGACTTTCGCTTCATGAATGGCACCTCAGAAGTTCATCCAGGGTACCAACTCTTGCGAAGTATTGCTAACCTTCATCCAGCCCAACGCATTCAGAGAGGTGGGCTTTAGTGAGGTTCCGATAAGGGACAGATATCACCTGCAAGTGGAAAGCAGATCGTCTAAGCGAATCGCAACGGAGTACTGCACCTCTTCCAGAACTTCGCTCTGGCAGGAGATGTGTCAGACGAAACCGAATTTTGCATCGCTTACGCGAATCTGCCTCCTTTGAGGGATAAAATAACTTTGTACACGTTTGTGACCATTACAGTGACAGCTGAATATTTTAATTCTTCTATGTTACCTATTGCATCTCTTGCAAAGTTGCATTTATACGATTTCATGACTAAGAAATACCATGAAGTTACAATAAGGATAAATGAAGTAGACTGTTTAAAGTGCATGGGACAGCCTTTGCCCAAAGAAGGTCGCCTATCCAAAAGTTAAACAATGCATTGGACCTGATAAAGTTGGTTTATCACTGAGGAAGAATGCAGATCTATTGAAATGGAAAATCGGTACGAATCTCATTAAACATCTCGTAGCTTTACTATCAGTGAATGGCTCTTAAAACATCCAACTCCATGCTAACTCTTCGAAATCATGCACGAATGAAACTATGGTTTTTTTTGTCATGTCGTGAAAAGGAATGACTACCAATGAGAAAAAATGCCGCGGTGAGGTTTAACTCTTTGGATCAAGACCGCAAGCAAAATAGAAATGAGGTTGTACGGGAAACGAGTACAACAGGCACCTTTTCCTTGACCACGTAAGCGAATCCACTCGGAAACACCCTCCCGTCTCCCGGTGAATGGTTCGTGCTGAACTGGATCCAGCCGTGACTCCACCGCTGAAAAATGAGGCTTATGTACTAACATGTCTACAGTAGTGAACACCAGATCATGCGGCTGATTGTCTCTGAATACCTGGTCTGAAATTTCGACGGAAATGTAAAAGATATACAACAAAACACCAAAAGGAGAGAGAAAACTCTTTTCTGTTTAGCACTGCTAGACGCCTAAGGCCATACATATGAAGAGTATTGGATTAATAAGAACTTGAGAATGTGCCATCTTGCTGGCGACATGCATCGGATGATCTTGAGCCCGATCTTTCACAGGCAAACGAAGTTTTGTTCGCTTCCCGAGACCAAGCCAGAAGACATGACACTTGCTTGTGTATTTGCAGTTACCGTCAGTGTGACTCACTCGTCGCAAGCTGCAGTTCGTCTCTGGCTGATGAAGTCATCAAGCGGATGTATTTTCAGCTGTCCTCCCGAATCTGCAGTCAGTCCCCAACATCCGCCAGAGCAACGGTTCCAGACGTTTGTGTTTCGACACATCCTACTGTACAAAGATTCTTAAAATTGGTCGCGAAGGTTTCTGAAATTGTTCATGTATTTTTCACCCACCCATCCATCAAGTTCCTCCATCAATTTTAGGAAAGACCTTATTCCGTTAGGCTGCTACGCAGCAGCATGACGCCGACGATCGGACAAGCCCTGCGACTGAATTCCAAGGTGCCAAGCATTCAGCATACTTGAGCCACGTGTCACGGAGTCTTCACTTGAACGTCTCTCATGTGGAGCTGCTTAACACACATAACAAATTTAATCTTGGAGGAATCGTTCGTCATTCGACATACTAAGGAGTACATAAGGAGTAGAGCACCCAGCACCTGAAACCTCGTTCGGCTCAAACAGACAAAATAATACAAGAGGCATCTGTAGGTGCTCAAATAACATGGAGCCGTGGCCTGCATTAATGCCCCATAGGCAACTAGGAGAAAGGCGCGGGGCAATACGCCGTGAAATCTGGTCTTGGAGGAGTCACGGGAGTTCTTATTGCGAGCTTCTCCTTCGACATGCTGATCATTTGTCCAAATCATCATAAATTTGATGTATTTCAAGAATATCGCTGATCACATGCTTCGAGGTTGCCGAGCCTCGAAAATCCAAAAATCCGCTAGAATAAGTTTGCTTGTACCACCTGTGCTTAGCATTGCACCAAATCATCAGAGAGTACCTAGCACTGATGATCACATAGAGTGACAAACGCGGAAACATACTGTAAGAAAGACAATTTCATTACGTTGGTAAACTTTTCTCTATGAGTTTGCGGTTCTTAACCAATGACGAAGATCACGTTCAACGCTTAAACAGAGCAAGGCAAAATCTTCCTTCAATAGTCTTGGTTGGTTGTAATCAGGGTATCTTTCCCTAGTCGGACGTTCTTTATAGAGTACAAACAAATGTGTCAAATAGACTTCAGAGCAGCGAGCAGAGGAATGGACCAAAGTTTGCTATGCAAACTTTTTTCAATACTTTTTGGAAATAGAAGCGTTACAAGAGGTTCTACTGACTCAGTAAAAATAAGGAAGAACAGAAAAAGAACCTATGCCATATTGTTTCTACTTTTCCAAAAAACTAAACTTACCTCAGACATTTAAAGTTGCCTAAAAGTCACCCTCTCGTC